GAAACACACTGAAAGCGAGTCCTACAGCCTTGCTGTCCCTGTGCGGGATGGGGACTCGGGAGTCACTCTCACTTCTTGCCCTTGCTGTGCTGTGGGGTTGAATCCAGCATGGCTGGTCTGTGGAGAGAAATCCCCCAGGACCTTTTGTATAATGGTGCAATGCTGCATTTCTTTTTTGCTTATTCTAGTTCCAGCCAGCTGGTCTCATGCTGTGTGATGGGAAATGGTCCCCTCGCAGTCAGTGAAACTGGGCTTGGGGCATCTTGGAAGTGCCATGGCTTCCACTGCAGGAAGGCTTCTGTTCTTTGAATGCCTCTGGTTTTCAGACTTAATTGGACCCACCCAAGGGCTGATTTTTTCCAGAAGCACCGAATGTCTCAGTACCTCTTGCTGATAGTAGATGGTGTGATGAGAGACCAGCATGTTTGATACTCCAGCTGTATCAGCTAGGGGAGCACAGCTTCCTTTAAGCTTTTTTTCACAGGTTTGCAGTGATTTGATTTGATTTGATTTTGTGGCTGTGCAAACTTTAGGATGAGATTTCAAATAGGAGGAGTTGATTTTGGATGTGAACTTGGGTGTCTGTGCCTCAATTTCCTCATGTGAGGGAGCTGTGATCTTCCTTGCTCAGGAGATAAAACTGTTGTAGATGTTAATATTTTGGTCGAAGATGCAAGTGGACCATAAGATCTCATGAAGCTGATTCTTTGTGGAGGTCTCTTTGGAAGATCTTTTTCCCATTAAGCTAATAATATCTCATCCAGAAGATGTGGGTTAAGCTGGGTGATCCCAAAAGTCCCAGAGAAAGGGAAGCTGTGAGCTTTCTATACATCTTCGCTTTTCCAGTAGGGAAGCTTTCAACACAAGTGAATTTTTATCTCCAGGCATGTTTTTGAAAGCCTTTCCCACAACCCACATTCCTGGCATGCATCTATGAGTGAAAGAATTAGAGAAATGAAGTCTGGAAATGAAACTGGGTGGTATGTCATCAGTCTTCTGAGTTCCCTTCTCCTCCCTCTGCCAGTTGTGTTCATTCTCCTGCCCCTTAGCCAAGCTGGGGACCCAGACAACATGACTTATCTGTTTGCTTGGGTTGATAAAAACAGCCCCTTATGAACCAACTTCCTTGCAAAATGAACCATCTTTCTCTCCTTCCCGTGCACAACTTGGACCACACAAAAATGTTTCCACAGACTTCAGAGCTGCCTGAGAGAGACATCCCCTGCAAAGGTACAAGAACATAACTTGGAAACCGTCCATCAGAGCACATTTGATTGCCCCCATGGAGGTGGGAAATGCCAGCCACTGTGGCACCACTGCCCTTCTGATAGAGGAGGGAAAGAGATGGAGTCTGAGGCTGGACTTGTTCCCTGTGCTCTTGATCTGCTCAACTGCTTGATGCAGACTTCCTCTCTCACTGCTGCCCCTAGCCTTGAAGAAAGGTGTGGGATTTCCCCCCACAGTTTAGTTCTTCAGCTTTGTCCTTCCTCCTCCTTTCCCCTCACATCCCAAGGAAGAAAAATTGCACCCTACAGCTGAAGAGGGGTGATTGTGGAGAGCCTACTGGATGCTGATGGCCTCTAATGTCTTGCCCTCTGATTTAGATCATGGATGCTACTTCTGTACTTCCCATAGGTGCTCTGGATGATGCACTGTGAGTGAGTTGAGGCAGGAGGGATGACAGAACATTAACCTCCAGTCCTTTGTTCCTTCCCATTTTACTTGATCTGAATGTGACGCCTTCGATGCTTTCTCTAGAGGAGCCATCTTACTCTGGGTAACATCTTAGGCAGGAGCTTAGTGCTCCTGGGCACTTTTTCCTTGTGCTCATCCTTGCTTTGGCTTCTCCTGTATCTCCTGGACAATTCTGTCCTGTACACACCCTTTGGATCCACAGACCTGCTTACCCAGTTTCTTGCTTACCTCAGTGTTTGGCTGAGGTAAGTACAATTTGTTCTTTCAGTCCTCCTCTGTTAGGAAGCTGGCTGGCTTTCAGAGCTCAGGGATCAGTTGGGTGTAGGTTGCAGCACTCTGCTAAGAGGCCAGGCAACACTTCTTGACTAAAGGGGAAGCCAGTCCTATTCAGGAATTTCTGTACTGGCAGGTGGAGGACTGAGCATCTCCATTAGGAGGTGGTGGAAGCTTCTTTTCAGTTGTATTCTGAGCCCTGGTCTGAAAATCCACCCCATAGCCCTCTAAGGCAGGGGCCATTCCCCCCTAGGCTTAATGAAGGGAGGAAATCAAAACAGAAACAGGGCTTAATCACAACTGCCATGAGGAACCACAACCAGGGCCCAGATGAGGTCAGAGAACACAGTTTAAATCAGGTCACTGCTTGAGATTTATTGTGTGGAGTTTTTCTTTTTTCTTTACTCTCGCACTGAAATCTTTCCCCAGAGGCTATTCAAGGAAATAAATAGCCAGTGGAAACGGACAATAGCTTGCTGTGGAGTACAAATTATATGAAGCAGTAGGAAATAATAGCAGAGTAAGCAGCTGCTACTCCGAGAAAGAATGCATGGTTGGTCTTTGCAGCTCCCTTTGCCTTAAGCAGACACTGATGCCTGGTCCAAGGCACAGGCTCCCTTAGTGCCTGGAGTGCAATATGGGACAGGCACCTTATCCGTGCTGCAGTGTCATTCTCCAGTGCCACTTCTTTGGTGCCTAGTTAGCACCAAGCCCTCCATGAAGGTGCTAAAGGGATTTCTCCCCTCTTCTTGCAGAGCTTGGGTTGATGTGGAGACAGTGGCACGTGAATCCATGCACCCAGCATGGCTGCTTTGCCTTCCTCTATCTTCTTCATGCCTTCTGGATTGAGCATAATCTCTGGTGGTGACCTGTGTCAGTCCTGCAGGGGACTGTTCATAGTTCACATTGTCTAGAGAGAATGTGTTGGCTACCCTCTCCTCTGAGCCCCTTGCAGCCCTTCCTCAGAGTACTGAGAGAGAGGGTGGGGATGATTTTGGTGTGCTGGTATGGATTCTGGGGTCTGTCTCTGCCACAAAAGGCCCTGAGAATCCTCTAACCGCTGAGTCTGCCTTGGGTGAGAAGTGGAGAAGTCTGCGGTTTTCCTCAGGGCTTCACACCTAGCTGGTTTATCTCCTGCCCAAATAAACAAAATAAAGACTGCTGCCAGCAAAGATGCTGCTGAGGATCTTGGCAGCCTGCTGGGGAGGATGGCATTCAGTCTGTTCAAAACAGCTGTGTGGGTGCCCTGTGGTGGAGGTAGCAGCTCTAGGCTATGGTACATCAGGTACTGCTGTCTGGAGGCACCCCAAGGGTCCTGAGATCCCATTGAGATCACCTCAGGACTAGCAGAAAGGCTGGGAAAGATTGTTGACCCCAAAATCTACCATGTGGGACCTCTGCAAATAGAGCTGCTGCATCTTGTGGGATGAAAGCACTTTGCAGGGGACCTGCTCTGCCATCCTTCTGGCTGAAAGCCAACGTGCTAGCATTAGGCTCTTCCCTTCTTAAAATATGTTTGGGGTTATTTTGTTTTCTCCATGCAAAATTGCATGTCTGCCTGCTCCCTGTTGGAAGCTTGCCCTGCCCTTGGGTCGCATATGGCCCCCACCCTCACACCAAGTGACTCCTTTTTGAGTCTTTGCTGTCCCTCTGGGAATGCAGCAAATTCTCCTCTGGTCACAGTGATGTGAACATGGGTGTCCCATACCAGTACAAGCCAACTTGCCCTCTAGCAGTGGTAAAAATCTTGGGGGCCCTGGAGGGGTACTCCCAATTAGGTATCCTATTATAGGATCATCTCTCTGGGGAGTGCAGGATTCCTGGATCCTTTGCACCAGTGGCTGCCAGCTTCCACAGCTATTGTTTATGTTTTCCTTACTGCACAGATCCTCCACCTCTTTTGCAGATGCTCTTTAGCCGGATTTCCTCTTTCTTTGGGATTTACATTCCCATGCTATCATTGTTTCCCCAGGCTTTCTGCTTTGCAGTGTCAGCAGGGGAAGTATCAACCTGCCCCTGTCACCCTCCTTTCATCATCTCAGTTGCCACCTCCAACTGCAGTGGAGAATTTTGGCTCTTCTGGGGTCCCTAAAGTGTCATCTCCTTCTGATGTGGGGAGCACATACCCCTGCATAAGGGAGAGCATCTGCACAGGGCTGGTGTCTGACCATATGGAGGCTCAGCTCTGCAGACGAAGGAAGTCGCCAGTGCTGGCAGAATTGCTGTCTGGCTTCCCACTATTGTTCCCATTGGCAAATAAAAGGGGGGTGAACGCCCCTGCTGAGCATTGTAGGAGGGGGTAAATGTTATCTTGATAAAATCTCATGGCCCCTCTCTGAGCAGCTCATGCTCTTTCCTGCTTATCTCTCTCTCTGCATATTCTCACATCCGTGGTACTTGTGGCTCTGCACTCAACTCTCTCCACGGGTAGTTTTACTCATCTGTTTGAGAGAATTGCAGAATGGGTCAGGTTGGAAGGGCCCACAAGGGGTTATCTGGCCCAACCTCCCTGCTCTAGCAGGATCATCCCAGTGCACATTGCACAGGATTGCACACTGATGGTTCTGGAATATCTCCAGTGAGGGACACTCCACAACCTCTCTGAGCAATCTGTTTCACTGTGTGGTCACTGCACTTCCTCATGTTCTGGTGAAACTTCCTGCGTATCAGTTTCTACCCATTGCCTCTTGTCCTATTGCTTGGCACCACTGAGAAGAGCCTGGCTCCATCCTTCTGACACCCTCCCTTCAGATACTGATAGACATTTGTGAGGTCCCTCCTCACTTATCTCTTTTCAAGGCTGAGCAGGCCCAACTCCTTTCTCCTAAGAGAGATTCTCCAGTCCCTTCATCATCTCTGTAGCCTTCTGCTGGACCAGCTCCAGGAGCTCCATGTCTCCCTTGTACTATTGAGGAGCCCAGAACTGGACACAGTAAGAGACATATGCTGCTCTCCCTCTCAGGCAGCTGTAAGGAAAGAGTTAGTAATTTGCAGTATATGCCTTAAACAAGGGCTTAGTGCTGAACTTGTTGCAGAAAAAAGTCATGAGTACATATGCACAACCCATGAAGGAAGCAAGGTTTCGGTTTTGCCTTTGCAGTTCAGGTCAAAGTTCAACTGTGGTGTGCTAGATAAGAAGTGAACTCCTGTGCAAGTGCAAGAAGTGGGGTCACAAATAGGACACTTGGGTTTTGAGGTACTTTTCTCACACAGCCCCCAGAACAGACCCCTAGTGCCCATCAAATGAAGATCTGACTATGCATGATGGCAGAACCATGCCTATTGCCTCGTGTGCTAATGAGGAACTGAAATACACGTCTGCCTCTGCTTTTTACCCAAATAAGGGACTGCATAAGAATTACTCAGGAAATAAAATGAACTGGGTGCAATCCCACCATCAAGAAGCCCAAGACACAGAAGGACCAACAGGACGCTGCTGGATCCATGGAGGTGACTACCTTCTACTTGCCCTATTCCTTCTTCTCCCCTCTCTCTTTCTCTCTCCCTTTCTCTTTTCCGTATAAGATTAATTTTGTAAAATAAAGTCGGCATTGTTGAATGGGCATTTAGTCTCCTTTGCACCTTGATTGGAGCAGAAGACTTCAACAGCTAATCATAACATTTTAATTGGCATCACCATTTTCTGACCCAATGTGTGTTTAACAGTTCTGAACTTTTACGGTTCTTCCCACTTGGTGGGAGATTGACCCTCTAAGGGAGATTGACCAGGCTTGTACTGTTATTTTTTCTGTCCCTCTGTGGGTGCCAGCTTTCTCCTGCCTAGTGTGTCCAGGTTGTCTCCCTCTGAGGAGACCGAAGGAAAAAGGGTCACCAAGGGTGGCCAGTGTAAAGCTCAAGTTTTACTCTCTACTGGAGAAGTTTGGTAGTTGCCTCTCTCCTCCAGGGTTGGAATGGGTGTAAACGAATTGTAATTTACTAATTGTTGATAATGTACAGGCAATAGCTGATCACAATACTAGTTTGCAGGTCAAATGAAAAATGGGATGAGGAAAAGGTAAGTTGCCCATTAAAGGTAAGAAGATAAGTTATTTGTGCAGTATTGGAAGTTTATCCTGTGTGCAAAAGGAAATCTAAAGCTTCCTGACACCTGAAAAGGGTTGCAGGTGTAAAATCTATGACTTTGAAGTCAGAAAATGAGGTTCTTAGAACAGCATTGGCTTTTGAGAAAGAGACACAGGAGAAATTGTAAAAACTAGTAGATATATTTTTAAATAAAAATGAGCAAGTAGAAAAACTTCTGTCTGCAGCTGAAAGATGAGAAAAATAGATGCATAAAAATCTAGGCAAATTACTTGATAAAATCACACATGAATCATCCTCTAATTCAGTCCAGCACATCTATAGGGTTGTATATTGTGGGGATCCTGAAACATGGAAGAGGGACATGTGGTACAATCATGATGATTTCTAGGCAGACTTTGACCCTTCCCCAAAAGCAGTAAACGTTCAGCCTTTAATTGAAACTGAAACTGCAGGGGAGGGGTGGTGGAGAAACCCACACTACTGTTCCCCACAGAGTAAGATACATTGCTGGAAGAGCAGTCTAGATGTTCAGGGAAATACAAAACTGAATGCAAGTTTCCCTTATGGGCAGAGATCAGATCTTGCTGAGTGAGGAAGAGGCAGAAAGATTCTGGTAGCATAGAGTATTTTTAACTACTACCCCAGGTAACCATAACTACTCATCGACTACCTGAGCTGCGGACTTGGCTGGGGGGCAGAGACCCACAGGACACAGGAAAGCCTAGTGCTGTTTAAAACTCCAGGTTTCTCAGGTCTGGCAGCCTCTGTGCAAAAGGCAGCATGTATTTAAGCAATTATGAAAGACATCAATTAAGGTGATTCCTGATGGTAGCTCCTGTCAGTCCAGCCAGATTAACTTCTCCCCTTCATGGCCTTCCAGGTAGGCTGAAAATGTTTGTATTAAATGCCAAAGATCACATACAAATGGATGGCAACATGAATATTACTGCAGCAGTGGCACAACCACTTATAGACCAAATTCACAAACCTACCTGGTATGAATTCGCCCAGGAAATAGGGAATTACGGGTGCCATATGAGATGGGTTGGAGCAACATCTGGGAAGCCACCTGAATCCCCCTGGTGAGTCTGTCAAATTAATACCAGCACAGCAAAGCCAAAATCTAAACCAAGACTTGATTAGATTAACAATATCCACTGCTGCAGATATTGATAGTGTGATTACAGAACTAAAGTTTTCTGGGCTACTCTTGGGAAGTGAAAGGTAGTTCTGGAAAAATCCATCAAATTATTGTCAGATGGATAATGCCCTCCTGTTAACCCAATGTGCACTGGTTAGACAGAAACTGAGCGTTCGTTTTTATGGTTTTTTCCAGGTTATGGGCACCCTGCATATTAGAAACTGCACCTAGAGCTAAGGGTTCTCCTATTCCAACTTTGAACATCCACAGGGGTTTCTAGCTTTTGTGTGCACTATGTTTTGGGAGTTTTAATTTGTGTATGTATCTGTAAGTTTTGTTTACAAATTTAACCAAGTAATGAAGGTTAACAAGTATGGCATTTATAAACTGTGTTGGAAAGAGATGCCTTGGTTTAATATGTTTATACTTAATGAAAATAAGCAATTACTGCTTGTTTGCTTTTGCCTAAATCTGTAGAAGACCCCCTTCTCATGGGTATATTTACTAAGACTGGAATACCCAGGATACCCTCCAAACAGCAGATCCTTACTCCCCAGATAAAAAGCGAGTTAATGTGCAATTTAGCCAGCCATTCAATTTTCTCCAATATTTGAGAAGGGGACCCTGAGCTCTGTATTATCCTTGTGATGGCTGCAGGGGAGCAGTGTGATGTGAAGTTGGGTACATGTGTGCAGTGGACACAGCAGTGTGGTGGGAGACACCCAATGCCAGATAACACCATCCCCAGCACTGTTTCCTGCTGGTTCCATGCTCAGCCCATGGAGGTTTCACCAATGGTTTCAGCATCCTCCACAGCAAACAAATTTCCCAAGCCTGTTTCCCCCTTGCTTGTGGGAAACACCTCCAGGGAAGGAGTACTTACCAGCATTCATTTCCTTCTTCAGGATGTTTTAGGGAAGGGTAGAAGCTGTCTCCCAGCTGTCTGTGCAGCAGCAGGGTGACTGCACTCAGCTGCTCTCTGTAAGGCTTGGGAGGGGCACTGTGGGACTACTGGTCTCCTGAGCCTTGACCTCCTCCTCTATCTCCCTTTTCCACTTGACTTTTGGAGTCTTACAAATCAGGGACATTGTCTACTGACTTACATTGAAGAAGATAAGGTGATACTCCCCTGTGAGGCCAACATTCCCATATCTAAGGGTTAGGGAGGATAGGACTATTGAACCTGATGTGGTTTTGTGTGTGGCTCCTCAAGCTAACAAATTTGGATCTAGATGGGGCTTGGATGGGAGGTTGCAGGGAACTCCTACATATGAGTGCTGCAATCCACACAGCTGAATCTAGAGCGACAAGAAGGGAAGGAGCTTGGATGCCACTATGTCACTCCTGCTAAGGGCACTCCATAACTCATGCCATCTAGAGGGGATGTGTTGGTTGTCCTCTCCTCCAAAGCCCTTTGAGCCCTTCCTCACAGCACTGTGGGAAAGATGATGGAGACCATTTTTGTGTGCTAGTATGGATTTTGAAGCTGCCCCTTGCCACAAAAGGAAGGAGCTGGAAAGTTCTTTTAGGTGAGCTGTTATGCATAGGTAAGAAGTGAACATGGTCACACCTCCTTGGGAAGGTGTTTGTCCTATGTCATGTCTAAAGCAGCATCTCTAAGGGCTGTGTGTCTTTCCACTGGGAGCCCACCAAGGAGGCTGGGATTTGCTTACATTTCCCAGAATCCCTAGTGAGACATGTACATATGGAAGCTTTTTCCTTGGATCAAAGTCTTCTGGTTTAACAGCAGCCGTTGGAGCTTACAGAGGCAGGGGTCATGTTAATGTGTAAGCCACAGGGAATTTAAGGCTGTAAGGTCCTATGTGCAAAGCATTTCTGAGCTAAACTGCTGGTGTCTCCCTGCCTGGTTACTCTACCCTCTGAGGAAGATGCCTGTAAGGGCTGCTGTTCCTGTCCTCTGGCACCCAGGGCAAAGCTGAGTGAGATGGAAAGTCATAGCCACTCTCACCACTTTCATTTCTTGGGCAGCATTGACTTTCCACCAAACCCTGCACAGTGCCTCTCTGCTTTAACCTTCTTTGTATCTCTGCTGTTCTGCTTTCTTTTCCTTCTGCTGAGGTCAAGCCAGTGTTCACTTCCTCTCTCTCTGATGTCTCTTCTCTCTTGTGGGTTTCACTCTGAATGAGAAGTTCATGCAAGACCTGCAGCATGAGGGTTTTGAGAGAAGCACCAGCTGAGAGCAATATCCTGGCTGGGATGCCTCCAAGCAGCAGCACCCTCTCAGTTGCAGTGGCAACTCAGGAGGAACGGCTGAAGGAGCCCCACAGACTTTTTCTCTGTCTTAGGGAGATATTGAAATCTTAAACCTGGATATGAAGCCTGGGAACATCCTGAAGGTGAAGGGCAAAATACTTGCTGATGCACCTGAGTAAGTATAAAAAAACCACTTTGGCATGCCAGGGTTGAAGGTGAGTTGTAGAGGAAGGTGGTTTTCCAAGGTTGCCAGATACAAAATAACACATTGTTATGCCACCTGCAACACTGAGGGAGGAACTGGGTGCAGAGATGTGTGTTGGATCTTAAGTCTTCCAAGAATCTCTTCTGTCCATGCATATGACTTTCCTCATGCTCATTTACAGCTTCAGCATCAACCTTGGCTACAACTCAAGAGATCTGGCATTTCACTTCAGTCCCCGCTTCAATGAGTCTGTCATCGTCTGTAACTCCAAGTGCTCCGATCGCTGGCAGACGGAACATCGTGACCACCACCTCTCTTTCTGCAGGGGCTCCACTGTCAAGGTGAGGGGTCTGTGCCAGCGTGGGGTTATGGGGTGTATGTGGTGTGTGGGGGCGTGGGGAATGTATGGTGAGGGGAAGCCCCTGGTTAGCAGATTCCTATACCGTAGTTATCCTGGTCTGACCCAATATCTCCTGCTCCCTCACAATGGCCCCTCATCTTCTGGGATTTTGGTCCTGATTGCCATTTCCGTTCCTCGTTCAAAACTGCAATGCTGGTTTTGGGAATTTTATGCAAGTCCTGTCCGTCTCAGGCTTTGTAAGTGCTTCCTGGCCCCTCCATCTGCCCAGCAGGTGAGTGTTCCTGGGGCATGTATGAAAGTAAAGGGAATCTCCAAGAAGCAGGATCTTCCTGCTGTGTACCTTATTTCCCTCCCTCCCTCCTATGTAAACACAGGCTTTAAGGCAACCCAGAGTTTGGAGCAATGTCCAAAAGCCTCTCCCTCAACTCTTCACATTACTCCTGGATCCACACTTCCTATCTGTCCTTTCTCTCTTCCTGCCACGGATGCTGTCCTAGTTGTTGCCTCACCTTATCTGATGTCCCAAATCATTAACAGGGCTGCATTTAGGAGTAGTCCAGCTGTAGAGAGAAAGCTTGTTTCCTCAGAAAGAACTTGCTCTTGGGGAAGGGGTAGTGAGGTGATGGCTATGGGGAACATTGCCTTTAGTTTGCAATGACCAGTGATGTATACTCGTCCTGTCTGCTTGTGTGTGTTTACCAGCAAAACTCCTTTTTCTGAGTCCTAGTGAGCTGCTGAGGGCACTGGGGGATCAGGTTTATTCTGTCCAGTTCAGGGCAGAACAGCGGTGTACACATTCCATACGCTCTATGAAAACATGTAAAGACATACTTGGGTTTAGCTGCTCCGACTTTACAGTCTGAGTAACTGAAACAGCCTCGGGAGAGATCCTGCCCCCAGTCATAGTCCATATTCCTGCTTAGACCCTTGATATCAGCTGCTCATTTCCTGAATTGCCCTCACCTCAACCACCAGCACATTGCTTAAAATTACAGTGGACAGGTTTGACCCTCTTATGTAACAGGAAGACCTTCTGCCTAAATGCTGACCTCTGAATACCCTCCTTGCCCCCAATTCCTGCCCTTCTCTTTTTTTCTCCCAGTTCTTCATTGAAATGCTGTCAGACAAATTCCGTGTGAAACTGCCGGATGGTCATGAGGTGTGCTTTCCCAACCGGCACGGCTACTGCAAGATCAACTACATAAGCATCCATGGAGGCTTAAAGATGATCTCCCTCAAGCTGACCTGATGGGCACCACTTCCTAGCTCTAATAAAAAACCAAGCCAGTGGAAGACTGCTTGTTCCAGCTCCTTTGTCTTCTGTGAGAGCTCTGTGGCTCTGTGCAAGCCACTGACAAAGCCCAAGGTTCTCCCACCAAAATGGAAAGAAGCCATTGTTGGATAATGCCAGGTTCCTTCCAGGTCAGAACAGGCCGTGGGGTTGAAGGGATAGTAAGCAGGCCAAAGCAGGCTGTAGGTGGGGGTTCAGGATGAGGAGAATATATGATTACTTGGGAAACGGTTGTGTAATCTTTTTACAATGCTCCATTTCTTCCTGCAGTGGAGATTTTGGGAGGAGGGATGGTGAAATGGGAAGGAAGGCATAAATGTAAAGGAAGTGGCATATGATGTGGCTTTTGGTGCTACAAAAGTGCATAATTATAAGGTGGCATAGGGAAGACAGCACAGGTCCCCAGCCAGCATTTCTGCCACAGATAAAGGATTGTCTCCAACTTTCCCTTTTACCTCACCTCACTTATCTGTGGGCCCGTTCCAGTCACGTTAGCCATTACTGTGACATTTCCACAGCGGATCCTACTCATCCAAAACAAGGCAGGGGAGGCAGTGGGATTTGGGCTGAGTTTTGTGGCTCAGTACCTCCTTGCACAGAACTTCAGGCAAATAGTCCCAATTATTACATGCTGCTGCTCTAATTAAAAAGTATCTTGTCAGCCCAAAAGTGAGACTGATGTGTGACAGCAAACATTGGGACACTTCAGGCTGGGTGGGAGGAGAGCAGAGTACAAGAGCATCTTACAGAGAACCTGGTCCAAGGCAAGGTGGCAGTGCCTCTGCCCTCCCTCTCCACTTCCTCACTGCCCAAGATGGAAGGATTGGTGGCTGGGGCTCCAGCAGACATAGCAAGGAAGACAATAAGGTCACAGCTGCCAAGGGAACGCATCAGAGAAGTTAGTATCAAAACTGTTTTAATAAGGACAATAATAAGTGCATGGGATACAGAGGGGAGGCAGAAAGGCTAATTCCACAGATATGGGTCTTTGGTCTTGTGTTATGGTCTGGGAAACAGAGGGCAGAGGGGAGCTCATCCTGAGAGCCCAGGTCCCCACCCTGGAAGGTGCAAGGGAGAATAAGGCTGATCTTGCTGGGTGCCAGTGGCCAGACCTGGGGACTTCTTGAAGCTGGTGCCTGCCCTGGTTTGCTGCTGGTGGCTAGCATGAGGCAGCCCCTTGGGGAAGCTGAGGAACATGGGCTTGCCCTTAACCTTGGTGGCCTGGCTGCAAGTGGCACTTCCACGTGCAGTATATGCACACCCTGGAGCTCTTTATCCCGCTCTGAAGAACTTCCTGGCAGAATCAGCCGGGTGGCGGGTGGGAGCAGAGTCCTGCAGCCATGGCCCAACATTTCCTCCCACTGCACACGCCCTCCTGTCCCAGAGAACAAGGGGGGTCCTGTGAGGGTCCCTCTAGTGACCTCAGCCCCCGAGCATGTTGGCTCCACAACATGGCACAAAGGCGCTTCTGTGAGGGCCATTTGCACACGGGCCAGCGTGGGGGGCAGCTCATTCCAGGGTGGCTGTGTCACCCAGGGCCACTTGGCAAGGGACATTAGCCATGGTCCACATTACCCTTGGGAAAGGGGTGTGTTGCAAAGAGGGGCGTGTGTGGGGAATGGGGAGGGGGACAAGGATGGAGACACAAACTGTGCCACCACCATGAGGATGGTGGCACAAACCGAGGGGCTCCAGAGGAGTCTCCCTTGTTCTGAGACGGGGGGAAAAGAAGGAATTTTTAGGGCCTGAACTGCAGGATTTGGTGACCTGACAACCTGCCTTTACTGCCAGTCAGCCAAGAGGTTTCTCCCCTCTCAATTGCTGAGAGGAGTGGGGGTCAGGAAGGAAGCTGTCCTAAGTGATGCCCAGCAGCAGGAGGCAAGTGGAAAGATTCCTGATTATTTCTGTGCACGCTCTCACCTCCTAAACACTGAGCACACAGCTTTTTTTTTTTTGGGGGGGGGGCAGGGGAAAAGAGAAAGCTCAGCTCTGTGGGGTTTGCCTGCCCCTTGGGACCCCAGCTGACCTTCCCCTGTTGATAGATGTGCTATACTGAAGGGTCTTGCACCAGGTGGAGCTGGGGAGACCCCATCCCCTATGTGCCAGAGCTATCGGTGGGAATATCTCTGGGGAGGCATGCATGTCATTGCAGAGGATGGTTGGGGACATCAGTGGAAGGATGGAGTATGCCCCCAGACATGCTGGTGGAGCCAGGCTGCGAGTTGAGAGAGAGGGTGCTGGGGAGAATGGGATGGGTAGGAAGGACTTGGGGTTCCTTTGGCACATGGGAATGTTCCTTTCATGTCTAATGACCGTGAGGCTGGAGAAGGGGTGCTATACCTGGCTCTGCGGTGCCCACTGGCCCTCTGCAGCAGCCTGGCCCAGCCCCAGAGAGTTCCCCAGGGGATGGGCTCTCCCCCTGCCCTCCCCAGCCTGCCCAGTGCCCTCACTTGGCAAGGAGGTCACCCACTGGGTCTGCCGGTGACACTGGCACCAGCGGGTGGGACACAGGGAGGAGGGCAAAGACCCTGGCACCAGTGTCTCTGGTGGGGCCTGTGATGGGAGGCATGGCTGTTCACACCTTGACTTCATCGTCCTCTTCCTCCTCCTCATCGGCATACTCGAAGGAATTGCTGCGGCCCCCTGGGGCACCACTGTAGCTTTCCTGCAGGCTGGAGAGCTTGGTTTCCTCCTCCTCTCCTTGGTTCCAGCTGGCCTCGGGGGACTGGCTCTCCCTGGTCACTTGTGACCCCCACAAGGTGCTGCTGGGGCTCTCCCACAGGGCCTGTGTCCGGGCCTGCCGGGGACCCTCACCCTTCTCGGAGCTCCGTGGGGTGCTGGTCCCACCATAGTGGCGGGCCAGGACCTGGGTTGCTCGGTCAAATTCTCCAGCCTCAATGGTGCAGTCGTTCCAGTGGCCCTGCCACGGGGACCCTCTGGGCACTGCCCCTGGCCCCGAAGCCCAGGCAGAGTTCGCTCCAGCGCCTTCAATGGCATGTGCCTCTCCGTTGGCATGGACCGACAGACCCGGCAGTGAGCTGGCCCCCGACAGGTCGCTCTGCCTGGAGTGGTCCCAGAAGCTGGATGCTGCCTTGCCCTCTTCGTGGGATGCACAGACTGCTGGAGGGACCCTGTCCTTGGTCCCCTCTTCACACAGGTGTGGGCCATCCTCCCCCACCTCATTCCCATTGGTTTCAGAGAAGCTCATCACCTGGAGGAGCTCGCTCATCAGGGAGGGCCCCAGGTCTAGGCGGAAGGACAGCAGGGAGTCGGAGCGATCCAGTTCATCTTCCCCAGGACAGGTACTCTCCTGGGCCTTTTCCAAGCGAGGGACACGAGGGATGGTACAAAATCCGGACTCCAGCCCTGTGAGGCAGAAAGTATGGCTGGTGAGGCAAGGGAGGAAACCTGACTTACATCTGCAGGGGATAAGGTACACTGCTGCCAAAGTGGCTCAGATCACACTCCTGTCAGTGGCACTGGCCTCTAAAGGACAGGTCAGTGTCTCTGTGGATATTTCCAAAGCCCAGAGTTGCTGCAGAGGGTCTCCAGGGGGGCTCTGGGCTTGGTAAGATGGCAGTGAGGGCTGAGCCAGGCAGGTGAGACCAGGAGATGGCAGCATTGCCTCAGTCTGCCTTTCCCTCTGAGCCCGGCCACCTCCCCCAGCTGCTGCAGGCACCCCGGATCCAAACCCTGCCCTGAGACCTTCTGCTCCAGAACCCCCCTCCCTGGGGAAAAGCTGAGCACAGCCCAGTGCTGTGAGGCTGGAGAGGAGCCACACAGATGTCCTGTCCCGTCCTTTCCACAACCCTTCCCCAAAGGGCATGTTGGCTCACAGGGAGGGATGTGGACACGATGGAGAAGGGTGGACAGAACCCCTAAGGAGCAGCACATGGAGATGCAAAGGTTGGCACAGCTAGGGACAGGGTTAGAACATCTGTGTGGAGGTGGGGATGGCCATGCTGTGGGTCCCCTTGACCTCACAACCTTGGGGTGGGAATTGCTCCACTGTCCCAGCACCTTTTCGACTTCCTCAGGGAGGCTACTCAAGTGAAAGGTGTAAGGCTGAGGGTAGATGGGGGGCGTTCCCTTACAGCTACTCCACACAGGCTGCCAGCTGTGTGGGGCTACAGGAGAGGGGGATAAACAGAGAAGCCATCCCCTTGTCGCTTGGAGGGACACCCTGGGAGGAGATCCTCCAAGGGCAGGAGGAAGGACCAACGTTCAGAGCAACATTAGGATTATCTGCTTGGAGGGATTGTCAAGACCGGGCAGTCTCAAATATCCCATCTCTCCTTAAAACCCTAAGTCCCTCACTGGGGAGGAAACTGAGGCATGGAGCAATGGAGAAGGCCAGCAGAGGATGCTCAGTACTGGGCACCAGTACTCGCGCTTCACTCACCGTAGGCCTGGTGTGTTTTGGAGAAGCTGTTGGAGGCACTTTTGAAGGAGAACTTGCTGGTCAGGCCCCGTCCGCCGCTGCCTCCATCGTAGATGCCCTCATTGAGCTGCGGCAGCGAGACGGCGTTCTTGATGATGGGCGAGACTGCAGGAGGGGCGGGCGAGGCCCCCGCCTGGTCCCCACTGCCCCGTCTCCTCAGCGGCGTCCGGCGGACGTGCCGCAGCGTCCGGGCGAAGAAGTTGTTGGGTTTGGCCGTGTCAGCCCCGCCGTGGTTGCTAAGGAAGGAGGTGTCCCCGAAGACGTCCCCGCCGCGGCCCACATGCATGGTGTGCCGGAAGTCGCCCAGCGGCGGGCTGATCATGTCCGGCGTCAGCTCCGACTTCAGCCGCCGCTTACCATGGGAGCCTGACACCCAGCTGAGCACCGGCAGCTTCCCCAGGCTCATGTTGCGCCCTTCACCCTGCCTTTGAAAATGCTCCAAAAATCAGCCCTCGCCAGGCTTCCAGCACTGGGGTGGTCTGTCACATCCCCAGCCTCCCCATTGCTTCTGCTCCGATGCTCTTGGGGTAACAGTTTGTGTCACTTTGGCTTTCGGCAGGT